TACATATATATACATATATATATATATATATATATATATATATATATATATATATCTTATACATTGAATAAAAACCCGCCACCACAAGTTTATTCCTCTTCATTGTCCTCGAACGGTTTTAAAATTCATATGAGCCAATGAAAGCAACTCTCAACGGCTCGCTTTCCAAACGCGAAAACGCACTGTGGCCTCTCCGGGCTCCTGTACCCCTGATGACGTTGCCAGTAGCCGCATTCTGATTGGCTCGTTTCAATAGTCGCGGGCTACTTGAACTGAGAGATAGTCACAATATCAAACTAGGCAGCTGTAAAAAGCAACAAGGCGCCGTTTGACTCCACAGAATCGGCTTTTGTACGCGGTCCGAGACCTGTTCACGGGTTCTGCACACAGGCATGGCGCGTTTTCTGTAGCGTGATTTATTTTTGAATGTCGATTTTGTAAAACGCCACCGGCGACTGTTTATATTGTGTTTTTGTCCGGATTTCAACAGCTCACCCCTGTGGCTTTCTCTGGTTAGCGTGCTAATCCATGCTTTCTTTGTGCGTAAACATCGTAAACAACATCACGACTCGATTTTAAGCCCTTTGTTTGGTCTTGCAGGGCGTTTTGAGCTGTTTTGCTGCTGGAAGGATGTCAACACAAGGAAGCGCGGTTCATGACTCCGATATTCACAATCAGGAAAACATGCTTTCGAGGCTACGCGGTGCTGCTGCAAAGAACAGGGTTGAAAATCGTGAAAATGTCAATCCTAACCCTAAAGCAGCTAACAACAGGACAGTCCTGGGCGAGCTGGAGAACAACCAGAGGAGACAGCTCGGTCTGCGAGGCGCTAAACAGGTTTGCACGCACACCACATGATCCTGAAATGTGCTTTAATATAGACCGATTTCGGCTGTATGAGTCTAGCATGCATGATAATGCAGATTAATAATATTCAGCGTAATAATCAGCCCCGTTTAAAAGCAATTGCTTACTGCATGGTGATGTTTATGTAAACTGAAAGCTGCTTTAGTGCAATCCAGTTACGATTCTGCTATGATTTATATTTTTAATCCCGAGTATGAACCATAATTTAGTTCCCTGTTGTTTTCCCCCCGTTTTTGGGTGAATCCTGTATTTCTGGCGCCAGTGGTTGAAATGAAAGCGATATTAAATGCCTGCAGCTCCTTCCCTCCCAACGCTCAGACCGCCATTTTACAAACCCTTTCACTCACTCACCGCAGCTCAAACCGGGTTGACGTCTCTTAAAGCGGTAGTTCATTATTAAATCAAAAGTTTTGACTCCAATATAGCAGGTTTGTATCAGTCTACAAGTTTATTGCAAAGTAATATGTATTTCTTATGAACTGCCTGTGAGTGAGTGAATGTATGAAATATGACTTTTGCACTATTGCACCTGTTGCAATATAAGTTACTAGGGACTTTTTTATTGTTCAAAGCTAATTTTGTAATTCAACTATTTTATAGTTAGTATGGAAGATTAGTTGATCAGTGTAATTTCCTAGATGTCACAATATGGGAAGCATAGATGAACAGATTGTGTTCATATTTATTCATGTGTCACTATCATACACACGCATGTATGAATCTGTGCACCTGATAGCCATGGGTTACTTTGGAATTTAATTTTAATATTCATATATTTGTTTTCAGATAAGATTTTGCTTAATGGACTAATGAAATCATAATCAAACATTAATAAATCGTTATGAAAATACTAATTGACTCTTTGGTTGTAGATACTTTTTCCCCAGAAATTTGTGTAATTCGTGTAAAGATTTATTCATCTTTAATTCAATTAGTCTTTATTTCTATAGTGCTTCTAAAATGTAGATTACCAAAGCAGCTTAATATAGAAGATTATAGTAAATTGAAACCTTGTCAATCCAGTTTTCAACGTTTAGTTCAGTGTGATTTAACTTTCACAGCTGAGAGTTCAAACACTTGAGCAAATCCATCCATGCACCGCTCCACGAGTCCTCAACCGTGCAAGCCAGTGGCGAGGAACGAACTTCACCAATTGACGAAAGTGAAGGGGGGGCCTAGAGAAAAACAAGGCTCATTTGGGCACGACCATTTCTTCTATGGCCAAACTGCTTGTTCAAAGCTGCAGTCTAGGTGCTGGCGAATGTTGGAAGTCCATAGTGAAGATATAACCACTGACTTAATTTGTTAGTTTTGTTTTTTCTTCTTATGAAAGTCAGTGTCTATTGACTGGTTAACACCTAATTTACTTAGAATTTTTGTCAGTTTGTTCATTGGAAGATCAAGATGAATGTGAATTATTTCTAAATGCATTTCTCTGCACTTCTATTCACCTGCAGTTTATCTGCTCTTGCATGTTTAAAATAGTCATTTGTTGTAATTAAACTTTTACTGCAATGAGTTTGCGAACAAGTGAATACATTTTTCACTTCCAAAAATCTAATCCTTTTTTTACTTTCAGGGGTCTGGGCCACAGATAATTGCGTGTAAACCTGAAGAAAATGCCAGGAGTTTTGGAGAGAGGCCTAGCAACAGACAGCCTGCTGCTTTTCAGATTCACGTGGATGAGCCTGATGGCGCGTGCTCCAAGAAAGCACCTTTACAGAGATCCACCATGGACTGTTCCCCGCTGACACTAAACCCCACTGTCACCCGCCTCAGGCAGCCCCTCGCCACCATTGACCTTCCACTGGAGGCCAGTTTTGGTAAGATGTGTGCAGTAGTTTATCTTAAACAATCTATGCTGTTGTGTGTGGCTCTAAAACATGTAAACCCCTGTTTTCCCTCTAAATAGATTCTCCAATGGACATGTCAGTAATCGATTGTGAGGAACGACCAACAAATGTCAATGAAGTCTCAGATTATGCAGCAGAAATCCACACGCATTTGCGGGAAATGGAGGTGAGTGTGTGTGGATGCATTGAGTCTAGCAGTGTTTTCACACCAAGCTGCGAGTTTAAATGTAAAATTTGGAGAATCTCAGTTTGTGAATGGTGTCGTTTCCACTCAATGTCTCTAATATGATTAGCGACGCACCGAGATGGAATTTAACAGCTTGCTCTTTAGATTTGGCTGACTGTAAATCATATATTAATTTTTCGACATGATTGTAAAAACAAAAGGTAATTGAGTAAACTCATTGCCTCAATTTAATTAAGTAACTGAGTCTCCCAAAACTTGCATGTTTAAGTTTTTCACTTGCCGGTTTGGTAGATTATACTTAAATTGTTCAGTGTGTGTGTCTGTGTGTGTAATTATATGCTATGAAAATGTTTAAAAGAGAAATAATTTGCCATTTATTCCCATTATGGTGAACAATTATACATGAAGCCTTGTTTTCTGAAAAAAAAAGACCTTGCACTAAAAGATTGCACATATTAGAATTTTACAGTCAAGTCTACAATAAAAACAAACTTTTTTTTTTAAAGGATTAATTGTGATTTTGAGCTTACTATACTTGAAATCTTAAGTTTATGCATTTTCATTGTATACAAGTTAAATTAACTTAATATTTTTAGGTGACAGGACCAAAATGCTCAATTTTAAGTAATGTTCAGTCAACTTAACTTGATTAAGTGAAAACAACATTAGGGTTTACAGTGTATAAGGCAACCAGGTCAATAAACATTAACCTAAATCAAAACACTAGTATAATAGTGTTGGACGGGGTGTTTGCAGATCCATAAAGCCTTAAATTCCATTGTATGAAAATAAAGCCTTAATTGGTCTTAATGCCATAAATCTGGTTCTCTAAGGTCTTAAATGCAATTGAACCGACCGCATAAACATTTCAGCTTTTATACAGAAGTCATTTATTAGCCAGTTTAAAGATTGTTTTCAGGGTTGGTTTCTACATATAATAAAGATTTGTTACAGATGGTAATTAGCTTTGTTCATTTTTTTTCTGTGCTATAAATTTATAATACTTTACGATTGGTCTTAAGTTTTATTCTGTTTGATATTAAAAGGTCTTCGTCTTATAACTCTTGGAATACCCTGTGGACAGCAAACGTA